TCCGTATAGTTGCTGCCATCGTCTTTCAGCTTGGTTTTCTCTAGGAACGCGTTGAAGTTGAGGACAACATGGGCCATTTGATCTACAAGACATATTGTAAAGATTTTAGACTAAGTTCATGATAATTAAGTTCATCTAATCAAATTATTCAATGAACTCCCACTCAGATAGACATCCCTCCAGTCATCTAAGTATAACATGATCCGAGTTAACTAGGCCGTGTCCGATCATCACGTGAGACGGACTAGTCAACATCGGTGAACATCTTCATGTTGATCGTATCTTCTATACGACTCATGCTCGACCTTTCGGTCTTCTGTGTTCCGAGGCCATGTCTGTACATGCTAGGCTCGTCAAGTCAACCTAAGTGTATTGCGTGTGTAAATCTGGCTTACACCCGTTGTATTCGAACGTTAGAATCTATCACACCCGATCATCACATGGTGCTTCGAAACAACGAACCTTCGCAATGGTGCACAGTTAGGGGGGACACTTTCTTGAAATTATTACGAGGGATCATCTTATTTAAGCTACCGTCGTTCTAAGCAAATAAGATGTAAAACATGATAAACATCACATGCAATCAAATAGTGACATGATATGGCCAATATCATTTGCTCCTTTGATCTCCATCTTCGGGGCTCCATGATCATCGTTGTCACCGGCATGACACCATGATCTCCATCATCGTGTCTTCTTGAAGTTGTCTCGTCATCTATTACTTCTACTACTATGGCTAACGCTTTAGCAATAAAGTAAAGTAATTACATGACGTTTATGTTGACACGCAGGTCATAAATAAATAAAGACAACTCCTATGGCTTCTGCCGGTTGTCATACTCATCGACATGCAAGTCGTGATTCCTATTACAAGAACATGATCAATCTCATACATCACATATATCATTCATCATTCATCACAACCGTTGGCCATATCACATCACAAAACACTTGCTGCAAAAACAAGTTAGACGTCCTCTAATTGTTGTTGCAAGTTTTTACGTGACTGCTATAGGTTTCTAGCAAAAACGTTTCTTACCTACGCTAACACCACAACGTGAATTGCCAATTTCTATTTACCCTTCATAAGGACGCTGTTCATTGAATCCGATCCGACTAAAGTGGGAGAGACAGACACCCGCCAGGCACCTTATGCAACTAGTGCATGTTAGTCGGTGGAACCGGTCTCACGTAAGCGTACGTGTAAGGTTGGTCCGGGCCGCTTCATCCCACGATGCCGCCGAATCAAGATAAGACTAGTAACGGCAAGAAAATTGACAATATCGATGCCCACAACTACTTTGTGTTCTACTCGTGCATAGTAACTACGCATAGACCTAGCTCATGATGCCACTGTTGGGGAACGTAGCAGAATTTTAAAATTTTCTACACATCACCAAGATCAATCTATGGAGTCATCTAGCAACGAGGGAGAGAGGAGTGCATCTACATACCCTTTTAGATCGCGCGCGGAAGCGTTCAAGAGAACGGGGTTGATGGAGTCATACTCGACGTGATCCAAATCACCGATGACCAAGTGCCGAACGGACAACACCTCCGCGTTCAACACACATACGGTTGGGAGACGTCTCCTCCTTCTTGATCCAGCAAGGGGGAAGGAGAGGTTAATGAAGATCCAGCAGCACGACGGCGTGGTGGTGGAAGAAACAATGATCTCGGCAGGGCTTCGCCAAGCACAGGGAGATGGAGGAGTGTCACGGGAGGGAGAGGGAGAGGCCAGGGGCTTGGGTGTGCAACCCTCCCTCCCCCCACTATATATAGGGTGCCTAGGGGGGGCGCCGGCACTAGGAGATCCAATCTCCTAGGGGAGGTGGCGGCCAAGGGGGTGCCTTGCCCCCCAAGGCAAGGGTGGCGCCCCCACCCCTAGGGTTTCTAACCCTAGGCGCTGGGGGAGGCCAAGGGGGGCACACCAGCCCACTAGGGGCTGGTTCCCCTCCCACTTCAGCCCATGGGGCCCTCCGGGATAGGTGGCCCCACCCGGTGGACCCCCGGGACCCTTCCGGTGGTCCCGGTACAATACCGGTGACCCCTGAAACCTTCCCGATGGCCGAAACTGGACTTCCTATATATGAATCTTTACCTCCGGACCATTCCGGAACTCCTCGTGACATCCGGGATCTCATCCGGGACTCCGAACAACTTTCGGGTTACCGTGTGCTAATATCTCTACAACCCTAGCGTCACCGAACCTTAAGTGTGTAGACCCTACGGGTTCGGGAGACATGCAGACTTGACCGAGAAGCCTCTCCGGTCAATAACCAACAGCGGGATCTGGATACCCATGTTGGCTCCCACATGCTCCACGATGATCTCATCGGATGAACCACGATGTCGAGGATTCAATCAATCCGTATACAATTCCCTTTGTCAATCGGTACATTACTTGCCCGAGACTCGATCGTCGGTATCCCAATACCTTGTTCAGTCTTGTTACCGGCAAGTCACTTTACTCGTACCGTAATGCATGATCCCGTGATCAACCACTTGATCACATTGAGCTCATTATGATGATGCATTACCGAGTGGGCCAGAGATACCTCTCCGTCATACGGAGTGATAAATCCCAGTCTCGATTCATGCCAACCCAACAGACACTTTCGGAGATACCTGTAATGTACCTTTATAGTCACCCAGTTACGTTGTGACGTTTGGCACACCCAAGGCACTCCTACGGTATCCGAGAGTTGCACAATCTCATGGTCTAAGGAAATGATACTTGACATTCAGAAAAGCTACAGCAAACGAACTACACGATCTTTGAGCTAAGCTTAGGATTGGGTCTTGTCCATCACATCATTCTCATAATGATGTGATCCCGTTATCAATGACATCCAATGCCCATAGTCAGGAAACCATGACTATCTTTTGATCAACGAGCTAGTCAACTAAAGGCTCACTAGGGACGTGTTGTGGTCTATGTATTCACACATGTATTACGATTTCCGGATAACACAATTATAACATGAACAATAGACAATTATCATGAACAAAGAAATATAATAATAACCATTTTATTATTGCCTCTAAGGCATATTTCCAACAAACAGGAACTCCATTGAGTTGAACCCGTGACGACGCCGAGTACAGGAGGGCCGAGACCAAACCTCAGAAACATGGACGAAAACCCAGATGGTTAAGCAGATCAAGTAGGTAGTCCCAACGCCGAGTCAAACATTTTTTTTAATGTCTAGCTTGAAAAGCAGAGCCGGTGTTTTGTTGCGGTGGAAACGCATGTCCAGATTGCGCATATACATGAAGTTATCGTGAATACATCTTCTTTTGATGAAAGCACTTCTTATGACGCCATTGGTATTATAATTGGCTTTTCTGTGCAAGGATAAACCTGACTTTTTTTACTAGTATATAAAATTTCACGAATAAGAAACCAACATTGTCTTTAGAAAAAAATATCATTATTACAAGTCACTATTGACAATATTTTGGTCGGAAATTTTGTTTATAAACAAAGTCAACAGGGATTGTTTTTCTTTTTGTGAAATTGTTTTAACTTTATTTCACGAATACACAAAGCTTGTGTATCTTTCCATTGATAAAAGGAGTACAATGAGTACAATGAGAAATACAACACATGGCATGAATGTAGACAGACGTGAACATGGTACCCGAGTAGAGAGAAGGGATGCTCGACCCAGATACAACACAACTAAACCTACCAAACCCAAAACCAAGAGTGGCCAAGCCAAACCAGACAGAACTCCAACATCACGTGAGCCAATACGACAGACACCCCAAGCGAGTAAGATAGCGCATTCAAGAAGGAAAACAACGCCGAGAAGCCGTCGCCATCCGGTCTGGAGGAACCAGACCTAGGGTTTTTCCTGAGCTTGAAGAGGGACGCAACTGAAGGCCTTGGCAACGTCTCCAAAAAGAAAACGACACCCGCATGTGCCGTCGTTGCCAACACCGGCAAGTCGAGCAGGAATTTCTCCCTATCCCGTAGCTGAGCAATCCCATAGCTGCCGAATTGGGCCTGAAATTGTTTTTACAAGTATAATGGAATAATCCTTTGTTTCACGCTCGATCAAAGCTCACCGAAGTTGATTTTCATTTTTATCAGAGGGAAGGTTGCTCTAGGCGCTCTCCAGTGTCACGTTGCTGAGGATTTACTAAACGAGCAACTAAGGTGATGCTTTGATGGATTACCTCGCAATCTTACCGTGCTAACATGCTGACATTGTGTGTCTGTGGGAGGTTAGGATAATATATGTATGCGAATTAACATATTGTAGCATGACCAGTTGTGTTCACGATTTGATCCCCACGATCTGTCGTAATCTTGTACACGATCAAGCGTCGTCGTATTGGTAGTATTAGTAATACCAATACGGCCCGATGAGATAGGCTTCTCGAAACATAAACATATAATCCGTACTATCAGATAGAGCACGTTGACTAACACAAACTAGATAAGCAACCCCTAACGAGAATCATGAATGCGATCGGCGCGTGAAAGCGATGGATGCATTTGGAGAACAGCTAGCCACGTCAACATTACCATTGCTTGTCTGACTGACCAACTGGTGTACAACTTCCATTTTATTAGGGTCGGTATATGGATGTCACCTTCCCTACCGGTATCACACACAATGTAGAAGCACAAGTGCTGAATTCCAATTAACGGAGAGCACGTGAACACACCCAAACCCAAACATATTCACGGTGTGGATGAGGCTGTCAACACGATCATACTAAGTTGCGTACAAAGCGGGCTACTTGCAAGTCAAAGTCAGAAGTGCATGCGTACTTGCAGCAGCCTGCGTGTAAACAATGGCAATGACATTGTGCATTCTCACGTACGTGCCCCACCCCACCCCACCCCGGCGGCGGCTACAAGCCTATAAAACCACGCACTGCCGTGCCTGGGCGTCCCGGCGATCAATCCATTGAATCTCTTCTAGTGCTCGGAAACCGCAGACTCCCCGCCCAGCTATAGACAAGCGCGCGCCCCGATCGAAGGGATGGCCGGCACCGTTGAGGACAGCGGGAACACGGCGCCGTCGTCGCCGGCCGGGCTCCGCGGCGCCGACCTGGCCCTGAGGGTGCTTCTGTTCGCCGTCTCGTTGTCGGGGCTCGTCGTGCTGGTCACCGCCAAGCAGACGGAGATGGTGCCCCTGGTCCTGACGCCGCCGTTCAGATTCGGGCCGGTGCCCGCCCAGTTCAAAGACTCGCCAGCGCTCATGTACGTGAGTTGATCGTCATGTCATACGTCTCTCCTCTCCTACGGGAATTGATAACTTCCGCGTAGGAACGGTGCGTATAATAACATGGATTGCTGATGCTTATTGTGTGCCCTGTCTACGTGTGGTTTGCAGTTATCTTCTTGTGGCGCTGTGCATGACGAGCTTGTATAGCCTTCTGACGGCCGCCACCTCGGTCAAGTCCATGTCAAGTTCGGCTTCCTGTGCCAAGGGGATCTTCGTCCTCATTCTGCTTGATGTGGTCAGTATCTTCTGCCTTGAATGATTTGTTCTCACATGTACTGTAGTTGCACGCAGGGCACAGCTTGATGTAACAATCCTATGTATAACCATGGCAGGTTTACGCGGGCATCATGGCGTCGGCGACGGGCACGGCGGGGGCCGTGGCCTGGGTGGGGCTGAAGGGCAACTCGCACACGCGGTGGAACAAGATCTGCAACATCTACGGCAAGTTCTGCCGGCACATCGGCAGCGCCACCTGCCTCGGCCTCATCGCCTCCATCATCCTCGTCCTCCTCGTCGTCCTCAACGCCTACTCCCTCTACCGGAGAAGCCGCTGATCGAACTAGGCGTCCAGCCCCGCTCCCTCCTCCGGCTGGCGGGACAAATTTCATGTGCCGTGCATGTCATCCGTCGGCTTTGGTGAGCTCTGCCGGCCGGCGGTCAGTTGTATAAAAGATGCTACGTGTTCCTGTGGCTGTGGAGTGCTCTACGACATGCGTGTGTGCGTGCGTGTACATGTGCGTTGACGTTTATCCTTGTTTGTTTCTACAACACGTTGCTTTGTGACAGTAAGCACGACTTTTATCGGCCAAAATCACTGTTGTAACCTTTGTGGCATAGTTTAGCATGATTTAATTAACCCCGTTTTGAGAAAAATGGATTTAACCTTTTTGCTATGGGCAGCGGTGGTAGGATTTAACGTACCACCAGGGTCTATGGCACCAGAAACCTAGTCGTCGTCACGCTCATGCGGGCAAGTGGTTAGCACATTAAACCCTAGGCCGGCATACGGTAGGCACCTAGAGGGGGTAAGTGAATGGGGAATGGGTGGGCGGTAGGGCAACCCTACCACCAAGGTCCTCACGGTACGGTAGTAAATTTAGCCCAAAATGGTACTGAAAGTTTCTGTACGTTTCTGTAGGCGGGAGGACATGTAACCCTGCCACCAAGAACCTTGATGATGGGCCCATGTAGTCACTCCAGAGCTCATTTACCATTTTGTCTAGCACACAATTAACATTCAAATTTCACCACACAACAATTGTCCATCACACAACAATTTGATCACAAATAGTTCAACATACCAAGTTCAACATAGCGTGTTCAACATACAAAGTTGGACACGACCAAATAGAAGGTTCTCAAATACTACATAGCAAGCAAGTGTCCATATTACTTTCTTTCCCTCTTGCTTAGACGATCCTCAACTCTCTTTGTGCGACCCTCATTTGGTTTTAGGCCGCCTCGAGCACGCTCTCTCTGGAAAGGCGATGGACTCTTAAGGATCCTCTACATGCCCCCTCGTTTGGGATGGTTGAGTGAGTGAAGGTCCATCTGGCAGTTTGTGAAATGTTAACTTGTTGCAGTCCTTGTCTCGTGGATCCTGTTCATCGTCATTCTCCTCCTCTTCCTCGAATTCCTCCACTTGTTGAGATAAGGTGACATGGCTAGAGGAGGAGGAGGCACCGGTCGCGCATGCGCCCCACGCACCATGGACCCCCGAGCAAAAACGTCCAAGTATGTACCAGATGCATAGGTCTGACCGACAGGAGCATGCCATGGAGCCATCGACGCGGGGAGCCGTCGGACAGACTCGACGCACACCCTGCTTGGCGCAACCGAACCAGCCCGCCGGGTGGTGAAGAGGCTAGCAGGCAGGTCTGGCTGGCACCATGCGCATGGGCAGCGCGTGTGAGACGTTGCATGTGTGCGACATGAGCCACCACATGATGATTGGCTCGCGCGAGCCCTTGGTGCACCCATCATGGACCGCCCACTCGGGTGTCCGGGATGCTCGTCGTCTGGGCAGATCGGACAAGGCGGCCCGATGGACAGGAGCGCGCCACGACGCCATCGACATGGGGTGCAGCCGGACAGACTTGACGCAGGCCCTGCCTAGCGCAACCGAACCAGCCCACCGGGGGGCAAAGAGGCCGATGGGCAGGTCCGGGTGGCCCCTCGTGTGTGGACAAGCGTGTGAGATGTCGCATGTGCGCGTGGCACGGGCACCCACATGACGGTGCCCCCCGCGCGATCCCTCGGTTCGCCCGTCATGGACCTCCCAGTCGGGTCGCCCGGGTCCGTGCCATCCGGGCAGATCGGACAGCGCGGAGAGCACCCGAGAGCTCCCCGGAGCATGCCACCTAAAAACCAACGACGTAGAGGCCTCTTCTCCCTCGAAGGCCCCCAGAAGGCGGGTACTCTAGCATCCTTTATATGAGTAATGTGGAGAAGGTTTATCTTGCATCATCAAGAACTGTGATGGGGGTTGGATAGACACAAGCATTCGTGTTAGCACTCATGCTCCATGGGTATCCCACCTATTAGTTGCTAAGGATTGCTTGGTGTTTATGAAAGCGGATAGTAGGAGTGCACCACAACTAAATGATATTTTGAGTAACTATAGTATTGGTTCTGGACAGAGGATGAATAAACGGAAAAGCTCAATTTTCTTTAGCCCGAACTATGGGGCTTTGGCTAAGAGAAGGGTCAAGACGCCTTAAATATCCGGACGGAGGCATTGTCTAGGAAGTACCTTGGCCTACCGACCGTGGTGGGAGGTCAACGGAGCACCAATTTGAGCATATTCATGAAAGATCACGGTCTGGGGGTGCAAGGTGGTGTGAGACTTATGTCTTGTGTGATGAAAGAGGTTATCCTTAAAATTGTGGTTCAAGCACTTCCAACCTATTCTATTAGTTGCTTTAAACTCACGAAAGTCTTGTGCGAGAAATTAACGACATTCATACCCAAATACTGGTGGGATGGATCACTGGACGAAAAGGTATGCATTGGAAGTCATGGGTGAATATGGCTTTTCCAAAGTCTAAAGGAAGGTTGGGCTTTCAGGATCTAGAACTATTCAATGATGCCATGTTAGCTATGCAGGCATGGCAACTCTTGGACAACACGCAAAGCTTATGCGTGCGTGTACTGAAGGGGCACTATTACCCACATGGGGAGTTCCAAACGGTTCACCAACATGGTGAACTATCATCAGTGCGAGAAACATACTTTAGAAAGGTCTTGTTAGGCGAATTGGGGACGACTTGAAAGAAGAAGTATTTGGATTGTTGGGACCAACACCATGAAACCGATGGGAGGCTTAAGGAAAATTCATTTCAACTTGTGACTGATTTGATCCAGGAAGAAATAGGATAATGAAACATTGAATATATAAGGGAGACTTTCCTTGTGCCTGATACTGATGCTATCCTTAATATGCCGAGATCAAGAGGAGCCAAGGAGGATATATGGGCATGTGCATGGGGGAAGAATGACATCTTTTCAGTATGATCGACGTACAGAGAAGTCATGGACGGTCGTATGCAAGAAAAGTTTCCAGTGGGCAACTCATGTGATGATATTGTTGTTTGGAAAGCCCCATGAAAACTAACGACACGTTTGGTTCGGTCGCTCGGTTTTCGATTCCTATGCTTTAAACAATCGTAGATGACGTTTGGTTCGGGTATTACGTCTTCGGTAATAGTGCATTTTGATACACCGCTTCGCAGAGTTGAAAACAACCGAACGACAACTGATTAGGAAACCGAACCCAACCTCACGAACCAAACAAAGCTCGTATATGGTAAAAAGAGATCAAAAGCAGTGCTTCATGATACGAAACCCATTACATTACCTGAGCAATAACCAAACCCATTGTAAATGTCTTACCAAGGATCAGAGTCTTTTGGTTGAGGGTGGTCAATAATATGCTACCCTGCTTTGGAGAATTAAACTGGTGACATATTAAGACCTAGGCTCACTGCCTGATGTGTTATCATGAGCAGGAGAGTCCTTATCATAGCCTATTGTCATGTGATCATGCGAGACGTTTTTGGGAGGCTGCCCTGGTTCAGTTCAACATCAAAAGCATCCAAACTACACCCGTACACATGGTCAAAAGATATGCTGGATGTAAAGATGATCCCAAGCATGACGAGGCAATCACGATCATGGTAATGTGGGCAATTTGGCATTCGAAAAATAAGTTCGCGCACGGTGAAGAGCAGTGGCCGCCGCACAAATCGATGATCATCATCGATGATATTGTGCGTGCCCTTGAGGTACCGACACCTGAAATAACACAAGAAGGTGTAGTGCAGGTAAAGTGGAAACCGTCGAAAGCTGGGTGGTTTGAGATCAATGCTGATGGAGCAACCGATTTAGGCCGATGGCGAGGGGGAATTGACTTTATTGGCAAAGACTACTCTGGAACCTTTGTGGCAGCGGCAGGAGCGAGATACGATGGTATTCTAGTTTCTAGCCCCTCTCACCGATAAGATACTTGCATGTTGAGATGCAGTGCTATTTGCACACAATAAAGGAATATTAAAGATACGCATGGAGACTGGTTGTCAGGAGGTCTATACACTCTGAAATGATTGGTTTAAAACGTTCGAGTGCCTGTCAAGTGCTCCATGAAATTAGAGAGGTAGTTTCTTATTTTCAGGGTTTAACCTTTTACATGTTCGTAGGCAAACGAATGAGGCAGCTCATCGCATTGCGAGAGAAATTTTGGACATTGATAACATTGTACACAACTATGATGTAATCCCCGACTTTCTGGATTGTGTGTTGTAATCTAATATGCCTTTGCCGATTGGATAAAGAGCGGAGAGTATATTCATATATTCATAAAAAGGAAAAAGGAAAAGGATGTTCAAGAAAAAAGAGAAAAAAAAAAGAAAAAAAAAAGGAATGTAGGAGCAACCGAGGGAGGCCGGCGACTCGGGGTTCGGGCAGAGTCGCCGTGTAAGTCCAGCGACCGAACGACCGCTCCGTAGTTGTTAGCGAGTCTGCATCGTTGGCTTTCCCAAACCTCTCCCGTCCCTGCGGATTGCGGCCGCGCGACGAGGCGGAGGCTCGTTCGCCGGCCACCACCGCCATGTCCTCCTCCCTCGCGCTCTCGCTCCCGCTCCCACCCCGGTGCGCGCTCCCCCTCCCGCCACCTCACCTCGCTCCCAAGCACCCATCTCTCCGCGCCAACCAGTGCCACCTCCTCGTTCGCACGCTCCCCCCGCCTCGCCGCCTCCTCCTCGCCCCTAGGGCTTCGTCGTACGCCGCATCCCCCGCCGAGCCGGCGCGTGAGGGTGGCGCGGGCGGGAAGAAGGCGCCCGGGTTCCGGAACAGGTTCCTGGACCTGGCGCGGCTCGGGGCCGTGGCGGAGGGCGCGGCGGAGGCCTTCTTCCGCAGCGAAATCCGGCGGCGGCTTGCCGTCACGGCCGTGCTCATCGTGCTCAGCCGCGTAGGCTACTTCGTCCCGCTTCCCGGGTTCGACCGCCGCCTCATCCCCGACTCCTATCTCAGCTTCGCCCCGCTCCCTGCAGGTACTACT